AGGAGGAGGAGGAGGAGGAGGAGGAGGAATGAGACGAAAACCTCAGAGTCCCGCGAATCTAAGAGCAAATCGTCAACATCAGGTACTAGGAGACCCGATGTATCGTTATTATTTTATTAATCCGCAGCTGGCGATGGGAATATGCCAGACAAGCAAAGGAAGGCGTGCTAGTCAGAGGCCCTACAGTAGGGACGCCAGGCTGGATCGGCCAGTCATGGATAGAGTAGCGCACAAGGTGAAAAGTCAGCAACCTGGTAAACATCTTAGTGAACGCCCCTTCTGCTATACTAACAAATTTGACTCTATCCGAACAATCTGGCTGACACGTAGTCTAAACACTGTTTTGGGTCTGAGGTCACAGCGCCAACCAGTTTGAGACAGTAGATCAGATAAAATAAAGGAAAACCCTTGAGTTTTTTTAGGTTCATAAGGAACACAAAGAGAGAACAGTCTGATGAGGGTGTCAAGAACTACCAGCCTACCTCTGCCACGGAGATCGAGCGTTCACAGTAAGCCAGGCTGGGAGGTTCAGTGGAGGTTAATAGATCGTCCAGTCGGTCAAAAAGAGGGTTGAGCTGGCGATCAACATTGCCAAAAACAGAAAACGTCTCCAGGACGACCTTCTCGGCCTCATTGATGTGTTTTAAGTACTCAATAATCTGTTGGCGTAGTTTTGTGACCAGAAATTGACTTGTGCGGATCTTGGCCAAGGACTTGACGTCCTCCTCATCTCGGAGGTTCTCCTCCTCCTTCACCTCCTGTCCTTCTTCGGATGTCACAGACAACGCGGCGTCCCCAACATCCGCGGAATTAGTTACATCTTGGGTTGAGTAATCGAGATCAGGTTCATCTATGAGAGCAGCGCGATTTTTTATGCGACTCAGCTGAGTCAGACCCAGCAGATTAGTCTCACCAAAGTCCATTTGGTCCAACAACTCCTGCAAGAAAGCAGAGGGGCGGGTGAACACTATTCCCGTAAAATGTTCAAAAAGCAAGAGTTCGAAAGCTCAGACTAATAAAACTACGATTCCGTTGATCGAAACTACTTCTTCTGAATCTAGAACCACGTTATTCATTTGGCCCAATTGTGAAAAACATAGCGACCCCGGTGTGCTTCAAACTCATGACAGCAAAAGGGGGATACAGTACAACTAACGTTCTAACCACCTGAGCTACGAGGCCCCACCGGGAGCTATGAGGTTTATCACACTTGGGTAAAGTTACCCGCTCAGTCTACTGCAACATATAAAATCCAGTAATCCTGATGTCGTAAACTGAATTTCGAAGCACTAACTCTAGCTCCATAGCCCAAACCATAAGCCCAAATATTAAACCTAACTCTAAGATCCAAGCCTAGCTTTAAATCCTAAAACCTAAGGTTAAGCCCTAAACTCAAACACTAACCCTATCCCTGAGTCGGATTCCCTAACCCATAATCTCAAATCTTAATCCCATCATCCAACCCCTGAACTACTTTCTAGCCCCTTACTTTAACGCTAAAATCCAATCATAATTTTTAACCCCTATCCCAAACTTGACCGACTAAGCGGATGCAAACCTAAACATAACATTAAAAGCAAACTAAACGCCAGTCTAACCTGTATTGCTTTGCTGCGCTGAGTGAAGAACACTTCAGCCATCTCCCGCCGCTCGTTCTTGAGGAGAAGGGGTAGGTCGGTGAATCCGGTGCATCGTTCTACCTTCTCGCTGAGACTCGTTATCCAGGTTTCCCAGGATGTCATGGCGTCTGCGTACAGTTTCTCAATCTTCCTGCAAATGACCTCCAGGCACTGTTTAGAAGAGGTGTCCATAGAAGCCAGACGGAAGCTTAAAGTAGCACAATGTTTCGACAGGTTCGGCAACTGAGGTTCACTTGGGCGCTCACCACCCTCTGCTACCTCCACGTCTTCGCTATCAAGATCAGTCGAGGCAGCCGAATGATCCCGAGCGACCGCCCGGAACAGCTTCTTCCTCTTCAGACGCATCTTCAGGCCGTCGGCATGGAAACAGCGCTGTGACAGCTCGCCCACCCTGGCAACCAATCGAAGGTACTTTGCTCGCAGCTTCTGTAGCTCAGTCATCGAGGCGAGCAGACTCCCGGCTGCCTCCACGCGTTCCTTCATGGAAGCCGTCGACGGAAGGAGGATACCGGTCTCAAGGGCGATAGCGTCCAACTGACGCATCAGCTGGTCCAGACCCTCGGATTCTGTCTGAATTTGTTGAAGCAGAGCAGCTGACTGATTCTGATGCGCGGTCCAGACCTCGTCCAGGCGCTGAGTGGTTCTGATGAGACTATCATAGCGCGATTGTATCGTTCCAATTTGGGCGGCGAAAACGGGACTGACAAAGCCATCGCTCTCAATCTCGCGCTTTGTGAGGTCAAACAGGGTGGAGTAGTGGTCGTGTTCAATTTGAAACCTTTCCAAGATTTCAGATGGATCCTCCGCCTCATCCTCATCAGCGCGGAGGGCGGCCTCGGGCTTGGTGACACCTTCACTAACAGACACCAGCAGTACCTGTAGGGTCTTCTGTACACAGGGCGCAAAGTCGTTCAACCAGGTGGTGAGACGATAGACGTTTACCTCGATGGAGACCATGGTCTGGTGTTTGGCCTCTACCCGGGCTACCGCGTGATCAAGGAACTGCGAGAGATCTTGCCAACGTGAGTAGACCCGGTTACGCAAGAAGTCTGACTCAAGCATCTCCGGGGACAGAACTGACGCCTGATCGGTGCCAGAGGAGGAACTCATTATGCCGTCGTAGGCCTGCAGGGCGGCTGAACTGGCCTGTTGCAACTGGACATTTTTGGAGGCTGCCTGTCCTCGCAACAGACTTCGTGCTTTAGACAGTTGGGTAAGAAGGCGAGAAAGATCGAGAGAGGTTGCGGATTGGCTCATCTGTTCTTCTAGGTATTGCGTGAAGGAGGTCTCATCCTGTACAAGACTACCCTCATCCAATTGCATCAAAGCCTGCTCAAGACCACTGTCTACATCGCTACTCTCATCTTGTCCCAGAGCGAGAAGGCTGGCTGCCAAGTCGGCAGTTCTTCGGATACCTGCAACCTGTTCCACCTCCTTAAGCAGATCGCTCATCTCTTTGAGAGCATTTTCACGCCGATCAAGAGCTTGAACTAGAATTTCCACCTGGTAGCTCAGTTCCCCTAATCGCATGGAAGCATTCAAGAGAGAATTATTGTTCCCTTCGAGCAGGGCTTCCACGCTGAGCGTCCGTGAAGGGGCCTGAGTCAGTAGCTTCTTCGCAGCCAACTGCAATTCCTGGTATCGCGAAACAAGAGGTAGATCGGCGGCCTTGTTGGAGTCCGCAGCTACTTCGGCGCC